GTTAAATGAATGAGAACATGGGTAAGTACTATTATTCAAATGTATGGAGTAATTGAATTTCAAGTCACCTTATTTTTTATCCAAAAACTAAGTTTCGAATACAAAAATGTGTGCTATCTTTTTTCAGTTCTCATGTATAAGTCACGCCGATTTTCATAAATCGATTACTATGCATAAAAAGCCCTAAAATCGTACTTCTGTAATATAAATAATTTGCTGCATATTCAAAGTAATTTTATACAGGAAACACTGGAAAAAATATCGATACAGTATATATTTTAAAATATTAAATATTAAAACATGACGCTAAATTTCAAATATTTTATGTGGATGTAATTTTTTAAATCTATTTTAGTAGGTTTGGGGAAAAACTATATATACAAATAAGGAACAATTGAGTGTCCTGAAACGATGCTTTTTATTTCAATGATGGTTAAAAGATGTGCATTATTGATTCAAAATAACTTTTCATCACTGATAATAAATGCTGTCTTAAATATATACTTAAGCAGATGTCTGTCAGGTCGAGTAAAATCAGACGGTTACATGTTAGAAAATAGTTTTCAACGTTTCTATAAGAGAAAGTGTTAACTAGAAATCTAAAGCTGTATTTCACCTAGAAAGCAAACGTAATCAGAAAATGTGAACCCAGAGTTTGCAATTCTCTAATTCCGTTCTGTATAGGATAAGTAATCACCACTTTAAAGTAAACAAAACTATTTTAATTTCTTTAAGTGTAACATTTGATTTAAGTTCGCGTGATATCGTTCAGTTCCGAAAAAGACGAAAGAAAAACGGCAAGCTTTTTGCGGGTTAGAAGAAAGTCATCCTTTAACGAGGATGGAAAATTATTCGTGACAGGATGGTGCCATTTTCATCCGAAGCGGAAATCGGATATCACTCGTTAGCAGTTAAATTTCGACCGTTTTGAACCTAGAATGTTACGAGTTTCTGCGGTGGGACCTGAAATCATGGCACAGGTCACATCCCATAATCCAGGAATGTTGTAAGAGGGGGAAATCACTTACAATTGCCTTAAAAGAGCGTCCCGTACATGTTCTATAGGGCTTAGGCTTGGAGATTGGTCTGGTTAACCCCTCTGGTTAATGTTTCGAAAATCATCTATAGGATTAGCCCTATGTGGACGAGCATTTTTGTCCTGACTGTACGCCTGAAAATATGAACTTAGGTCTCTAAGATCTCTTTACCGCGTCTCACAGCAGTCACAGGGTCTCTGTTGAAAATATGAAAGTCATCACGCCAGTGGAGTAGCTAGAGGGGGACGTAAGGGGCTGTACGTTCTGGGTCCCACCTATATGGGGGCGCTATTTTTCACGCAAAAGCATTATTTTATAAGGCTCAGTGATGTAGATTGTTGAGGCAGTTGAAGAATAACAAAATTCTGAATTTTTAATACAAATTACAGGTTTTACACTATGTAGAGTATTCAACAAAATCACTATGAGATTTTAACAGCTACATGTGCTGGCTAAACTTCCCGTACTCCATCGAAATGTTTGGAAGAAAAGTACGGATGTCAACAAAATTATGATCGCAATGACAATAATAAGGAAGAATTCCTACTTGAAAGAATGGTATCTCAGTCTTATTTCCGTTATTGCTAGGAAAGGTAAAACCGAGATGTTGAAGAGCAAGAGCTATTCTTTTGACTGTTTGCAATTTATTCTCTACTACAGTGTCCATAACAAAGTTCAAAATACTGTAATAATACTGCAAACATTTTTCGCAAATGCTGTAGGTGTTGCTAACTGTGCAAAGAGTTTTCTAAATAAAAATCGTTTAACAAGCATTAAAGATATAAAAAATTAATATTTTTAAGAGATCTTTTTTCCTTTATGTAGTCGCAGATCACGATAATCGGGTTTCTGCGTCGAAGCCTTTTCTCAGGGTTACATATTTAAATTGTCCATAGCAGTAAGATAGTATAAGCCGTGAGCATATCAAAGTTTTGACGATAGCGATAGAGTCAAAACGATAGCAATTATGTCTGTAGATGGCAAAAATTAGTTTTCGATGGAAATGTAGTGGTGTAGATCAGTGAAAAAGATTAAAAGGAAGTTCAGCCAAGACCGTAGAGGCTTGTCGATACAGTCTACAGATCATCAACTGGAGAAATAACTAGACTTCTGCAGTGTTATCGATGGTTTTGCGAACAGAAAACTAGCAAAAGAGAATTTAAAAAAATGTTGGAATTAAAGTTTCACTACACAAATAAACCTAAGAGTATTAATTTCGTTCTCTGTATGTTATTTTAAAGATTTTTTAGCTTTTTAATTGTGTATCAAGAAGGGTAGCAAACTCAGGATTGCCCAGGACGGCAAATGCTCTGGCTACACCACTGCTATACAGTCATCCAAAATTGATGTGTGCATAGATCAATGAAACTCTACTGCCATATTGGGGTCCTTTCTCTAATGTGGAAGACAGGTAGCTGGTCTTTGTTTTGCTACAGATGAAGGTGCATCTAGAACGATACCTCACTGATGCTTGATCTAAAGTTGATGTTCTAAATGTGCTCTTTTGTGCGCAGAAGTAGGCGGAACGCAAACAACAGATCGCTTGAAAACATACCTTTCTCACTTACTCTTTTGGAAACAGTAGCCCTTGAAACTCGGCTTGTTGTGGTCGTATGGAAGTGAAGCTCAAAAGCTGTTGCTCTTCTAATGCGCCTTTCTGAAACGCACGAATATGGATCTTCATTGGCCGTTGTGGCTATTATAATTGACCTGAGTTTCTCTTTATACTGTATCCATAAGTTGCATTCTGAATGTGAGAATGTCCTGTTTCCTATCTACCGACGTTTCTTCAATTTCATTATATAGATTATTGGATGCTACTTATTTTAACTGCCTGATTTTTAATTTCACAAAATGTTGCAATTGAAAAGCCGCCTAGGACAGCAACCGAACCGAAGGGCGGAAAATGTCACTTGCGCTTTAATGACCCTTCTCCTAAATACTCCATCCACATGCTCGTGTCCACTTGCGTATTCGATTCTAAAAATTTGCAAATTTTGTATGGAAGCATAAATACCTTTCGTTCAGTACTTTTCAAGAAAATTGCCAAAACACGCAAATTCTCTTGATTTTGAATACCGGTATAATACATGCACATGGTGAAACACTGTTAAGGTAAAATTGTTAAAATAATATATATGCATAAAAAAGGAAGCTTTTGTATAGAAAAAAAGCATTTTAGCACAATGTCGTAAAACGTTTATTGGAGTATCAAAGAAAGGTGAGAATTTGAGAAATTTTAAGTGGTGGAATGCAGAACCTGAGCTGATTTCTTTGTTTCGAGATAAGAAAATTCAGTTGTAATATTATAGAGGCTATTTTTAATATTATATGAATTCCTCCTAAAAAGATTTGTTTTCGCACCAATGCAGAGATGTTAGAAGAATTTCTTCTTCTTATCACAATTTTATTTATTTATTATATTATTTTTATTTCTATTTCTTACCACGATTTTATTTCTTCTTCTTACCACGAAAACCTATCAGGATAAATGGGTAAAATGTGCAGGCAATGTTTCACATATCTAAATATTTTCATTTGAATTTAATTGTTTTAATTTTAATCCGAAAACAGCTCATTTATCAAAGATTTTATGGAAACTGATAGATTTTTAGAATACAAATAGCAAGAAATATTTATTGACGATCTGAAGAGAGTTTTCCGTTTTTATACAGGTTGTTTTCTTTCTGATTATATATAATATGTAATTTCTCTAAAGATACGTTTTTGAAGTGGAACAAGATTGGATATGACTGATGGAAGAATTAGAAGGTCTAATATTAGAAGGTGTATACGCCCATATTTGGAATTTGTTTAAACTTTTTTTTTTTTGAAAATTTTTTGAGAAAGGTTGAGAAAGAAAATATTTGAAGGTTTTTGAGAAAGGAGCTTTATTATCAACCATATTTATAATACAAATTCATATGCAATTTGCGATAACAGAATGAGTGACAGATGTCTTTATTTTTTGGGTATATATTTCTAGATTTTTCTCAAACATCCCGTACTAATGAAGATTATATTTATTTAATAATTGAGCATCTATATTCATGCACGTTAATACATGCACAACTTAGTTCATGCGTAGTTGAAGTTTCGAGTGTATATCATACAGCCTGCCTACACTGCTACATTAATGAACTTTGTCAGGTAATATTTTTGCAGTTCTTTTCCTGAAACTTCAAATATATTACAAATTTAAAGTAGATCTCCCTTGATTAATTAATTGTGTATTTTTTCTGAAATCTTTCTGCCATTATTCCACATTTATATTGGTAAGCTTATTTAAAGAAAAGTTACTTACACAGTTGTGTATCTGAGTTAACTACACATGTAGGAAAATGCTGATCTTCGATCTCTCCCTAACATCCTCTTAATATTTAGGTTCTTTTATACTAATATTAATCTTAGTAAAATATAAAATATTATACAACAGTTGGTTCATATGCGATACAGACCTTTCGTAATAAAATTACACCACACACATATCGGTATGTTTCAGACCAAATAACTTACTGAGCTCAAAAGTATTCCTTAATATTATTGTGTATTTAGAGAATGCATTTTTAATTGTGTCATATATTAAAACAATTGTCATTAAATATTTAGGATTTAACGACCTCAGGTACTTTTGTATCTTTATACTTAATTTTATGAGGCGTATATTTGTATCTTTATATCTAATTTTCAAAATCCTTTTTGGTAATTAAGTTCTTCAATAATAATTTAAGATAATTTTATTTTTAATTAACTAATATTCACCATGAAAGTTTATATGTGCTAGAAATATTAAGCTTTTCCATAACTTGATTAGTAGGATAGGGGATTATTATAATGAATGGAAGAGAATTGACCGATTACTCTAAAACCTATGGCAGATATTACAAGTTTATGTTATTATAACTTTCTTATAAGATGTAATGCAATTTCATTTAAAAGAACGAAAGAATCACACAAGCAAAGTAAGATTTAAAAATGCATATTAATTTATTTACTCCCGTTCAGTTTAAAATATAACCAAATACTCAAGCTTTCACAATAAATTAGTTGGAGTATCAATAAATAGTTCATGTAGACGTCTCTCACCAAATGCCAACTAAGCAGATTTATTTGGGGATCCAGAGAAACCTGTGCTCTGTGGCGTTCAAGGCACTTGAGGCATTCCTGGGACATCTGGCATTCCTGGAACATCTGGCATTCCTGGGACATCTGGCATTCCTGGGACATCAGGCTTTCCTGGCACATCTGGCTGTTCTGGCACATCTGGCTTTTCTGGCACATCGGGCACCCCAGGCATATCAGGCATTTCAGGAATTCCTTGTCTTTTCCTTTTCGAATTTTCATCAGACTTCTGTGTTTTTCTTGGGCTTCCAGGAAATCCTGGTATTTGAGGCATTCCTGGTATTTGAGGCATTCCTGGTATTTGTGGCATTCCTGGAACTTGAGGCATTCCTGGAATTTCTGGCATGCCAGGAATCTCTGGCATTCCTGGGACTTCCGGCATACCTGGAATTTCGGGCATTCCTGGTAATCCTGGAATTCCTTGTCTCTTTTCTTTAGAACTTCTTTCGGACTTTTGTGATTTACTTGGGCTTCCAGGAAATCCTGGTATTTGTGGAAATCCTGGTATTTGCGGCATTCCTGGTATTTGTGGCATACCTGGTATCTGTGGCATACCTGGAACTTGAGGCATTCCAGGAATTTCTGGCATGCCGGGGATCTCGAATCTCGGCATTCCTGGAAGTCCTGGAATTCCTTGTCTCTTTTCTTTTGAGCTTCTTTCGGACTTTTTTGATTTACTTGGACTTCCAAGAAATCCTGGTATTTGCGGAAATCCTGGTATTTGCGGCATTCCTGGTATTTGTGGCATACCTGGTATTTGTGGCATTCCTGGAACCTGAGGCATTCCGGGAATTTCTGGCATTCCTGGAACTTCCGGCATACCTGGAATCTCGGGCATTCCTGGTAATCCTGGAATTCCTTGTCTCTTTTCTTTTGAATTTCTTTCGGACTTTTGTGATTTACTTGGGCTTCCAGGAAATCCTGGTATTTGTGGCATTCCTGGTATTTGCGGCATACCTGGAATTTGTGGCATACCTGGTATCTGTGGCATACCTGGAACCTGAGGCATTCCGGGAATTTCTGGCATGCCGGGGATCTCGGGCATACCTGGAATCTCGGGCATTCCTGGCAGTCCTGGAATTCCTTGTCTCTTTTCTTTTGGACTTCTTTCGTACTTCTGTGATTTACTTGGGCTTCCAGGAAATCCTGGTATCTGTGGCATTCCTGGTATTTGTGGCATTCCTGGTATTTGCGGCATTCCTGGTATTTGTGGCATACCTGGGACCTGAGGCATTCCGGGAATTTCTGGCATGCCGGGAATTTCGGGCATTCCTGGCACTTCTGGCATACCTGGAATTTCGGGCAATCCTGGGATTCCTTGTCTCTTTTCTTTTGAACGTCTTTCGTATTTTAGTGATTTACTTGCGCTTCCAGGAAATCCTGGTATTTGTGGCATTCCTGGTATCTGTGGCATACCTGGTATTTGTGGCATACCTGGTATTTGCGCATTATTTGATACCTGGGACAGGCATTCCGGGAATTTGGCATGCCGGGAATTTCGGCATTCCGGCACTTCTGGCATACCTGGAATTTCGGGCAATCCTGGGATCCTTGTCTCTTTCTTTTGAACGTCTTTCGTATTTTAGTGATTTACTTGCGCTTCCAGGAAATCCTGGTATTTGTGGCATTCCTGGTATCTGTGGCATACCTGGTATTTGTGGCATACCTGGTATTTGTGGCATACCTGGCACTTGAGGCATTCCGGGAATTTCTGGCATGCCGGGAATCTCAGGCATTCCTGGCACTTCTGGCATACCAGGAATCTCGGGCAATCCTGGAATTCCTTGTCTTTTCTCTTTTGAATTTTTTTCGGATTTTTGTAATTTAGCTGGAGCTTTGAAGATAACTTGTCGTTTCTCTTTGGATTCATCTAGGAACAGAGGAGAAGTGTCTTTGTTTTATGTTGTACGTAATTATACATATTACAATCAATATTATTTTATTGAGTTTTGTAGTATACATAACATTTCCCGAATTATTGTTCATAAATTTATTCAAAAATTAAACTCTCTCTCTCTGTCTTTTAAATTTTATTCAAGAATACCTTTTATACTCGAAAGTCTTTGTCTAGTCTGAAATTATGGGAGATGAATAGAATTAAATGTCTTATATCTCTTTAAAAGACAAGAATACATTAAGTAATGAATTGACTTTGCTATGGTAATTGAATAATGAGGTATTATATTTATTTTCATATACAGAAATGAAAATGTATGAAGTTTCGTGATTTTATTATTGGTGTACGATAGACACTATATATATTTAGTATACCTGTCCAGAATATCCCTTAAAAGTAGATTGAGTAGATAACAATTTAATAGTAGTTTGAGATCAAGCAAATATGCAGCCTTACTATTAACAACTGCCCACTACTTGGAATCGCTATGTTGTCAGAAATATTATATATATTTTTTATTTAACAGAAATTTAAAATTGTATGAGATTTGAATGTGTAATACTGTCTTCCTTCTTGCAGTCTAGAATCTAAGCAGTCTGTTGTACTGAGACGCTCTCTTCTTAGTTTGCATACTTATGAAAAGTTAGACTGTAGCGTCATTAGGTTTATTTCGGAGCAGAAAACATTATAATCAAGAATACCCTCGCAGAGATTCGAACTCCGGCCTCCCGACTGCCAGCGGATATGTTTCCAATTATACCAGGGAGGCAAGTGGTAAACAAGGAAAAATTCCTTTCATTCCTCCATTCCACTTAAAGGGCGACGGTGGAAAAGGGGACATAATCACAAAATCTTTGAGGGAATGAATTATTGTTGACCACACTTTAATCCGGGAGCCAGCTGTAGAATCACTGTTTATTTTGGAAAAGGAAACATGAAAATTAGCATTGCCATCACCGGGATTCGAATCTCGGACCTTTCAGTTGCCAGTTGGATGTGCTTCCAATTACGCTTCGAAGGAACGCGGTAGGGAAAGAACAAATTCCGTCCAAGATGTTTTCAATGAAGTTACAAAATGATGCAAAGCTTTGTTGTTAAAATTTTTTATTGCATTTTCTCTGCAAACTTTGCTGCTTGTTAAGTGTAAAAGCAAATGTGCTTCATGTGTAACAGTGGACTATCAAGAACCTTTCTACCTGAAATACAGATGACATGCAATGTTTTAAATGAATAAAAGTCCAATTTGGGATTTCGAAATATGGAAATATGCAAGAGTTTTATTATTATTTATTGCTAATTTAAACCAATAACTTCTCTAAGCAACAGATAATACTATTGGAAAGCGGGTTCTCCATATATTTTTCAGCTCTCCAGCTGCTTAGCAGTAAAGTGGCTAAACACTGGTTGTTCAAACTGGAATCGATTCCAGGCGAACGGACCTTTTTGGCTGCTTAGGTGTTTTCGTGGCTTCACTTGTTATGCTTAACGTAGATACAGACCCGTTCTCCTTAGGCAGATAGCCTTTGTGTGGTTTTCCGTAACTAAGCAAACGAAACAGTATATTTATCACTTGTAAAATATATTATGATGTCTCTTGAGTTTTGTTAGTGTTTTAGATATGTATAAAGCACATGACAGCGTGTTCAGCCTAATTAGTAAATCTTCAGTAGCGTTTGTTCTACTAAGAAACAAACACATTTGATTCCACTATAGCAAGTGATTAATTAATTTCTAAAGAAGTTGAGGTAAAGCAAGGGTCCTCCCCTCGTCTTATTTATGTCGAAACCTCTTTTTTCAGTCAGTAAAACTCATTTTTAACTGTAAAATACTTGCGAATACTGAGAATAAAAATAATGCATAGGTTTTTGAACAATTTATTGCCTTAGCAATTATGTGTTCTTACTAAAATCATAAAAAGGAATGATAACATAGTAATGAATCAGTGAATGTAAAAGTAATATTTATTTAGGCTTAAATACCAGTTAAATACTAATATATATTTCTTAAGCTTAAATATTACTTCAATACATTACTTAAGCTTAAATGTTATAATTCAGTACCAATAAACTGAAGTATGAACAAATTCACCATGCTAATTTAAATGCTTTCTCATTATGCCATCTTGTCATTTTTAAGACTTTTAAGTTTGCTGCTCATGTACCATAAAAAATACACATCTGCATCTGTAGATCCATTGAGAATATGCTGTTTATATATTTATACTAAAAAATGACAGGTTGTTAGAAATGTATAATAGAAAATGCGATGAGGAAAAAAAAAAATGTGGGCCGGGGATGCAGTTAGTTGATCAATGTTCACGTTTATAGAGTGTTAAGTATTACCATACACTTTTTTATATTCGTAATATTATTTATATTTGGGATGTAAACTGATTGAAAGGAAGAAGATATATAGATTTGCTTCGGTTATTTTGACCTGCAAAATTTGTAACTGAAGTTATAAAATGGTTCAAAATTTTAATAAAATTTTTAGTTACAAAATGGTTAGTTTTTTTTTTTTCTTTCTGTTTTGGCATGTTTATTCACAAAGTGAGCTGTTAACACAAAAAATACTAACTCAGTATCTGAAAACACTGGAAGACATCAAAATGATTAAATTAATTATTCTTTGTTTTGGAGCTATGGATGGCAAAGATTTGTAAAGCATTTTAAAGTGGAATCTTAAGTTTTAAAACTTTTATTTTGCTAAACAGGCAAAATGCTACTTTTTACATATTGAAAATTAGGATTTTAAAGATTTTGACAATATTATCAGTTGGATATTGTAAGCCTTATTATTACTAATTTCGAAATGTTTTGATGTTAGTTTTAATAAAATATTATGAAATGAATGCGCTTTAAAGCATGAGTTCCTACATTAGATGTTGTTTAATTTAGTTATTATTTATTGTTACATTAGTTATTATTTCCAGTGTTAGCAATGACATCAGAGTCTTTGTTAATATGTTTCAGAAAGGTGAAGAAAAACAATATGTGTCTTGGACGTACGCAGCTGATTCATGCTTACGCTTACAAGTAATGTTTTCAAACATGAGTGGAGTCAAAAACAGTCCGAGAGAGATCATTGAGAAGTCAAAAAGATTTTAGTTCTTTCTGTGCGTTCGACGAGTTAATATTTAACACTGAGGAGTCAAAAAATTTATTTCTCTTCGTGCACTGGACATTTAACATCAGTATTAAAACATGAAAAAAATTATTCGAGACAGATAACTGGGGACTGAAAACAAGGGTTGAGCGTTGAGCAGGATACAGGTACGTTGATTGGGCATTTTAATTAAAAATATTATTTATTCGTTAGGGAATCGGGGCATACTAGTGAGTTTAGAAGGTTGAAAACAGGTTTCTGTAAATTGCACATTTACGGCAACATTAATTTCTATAAAATTTCCGGGTAACCAAAATTCAAATAATTTTAAATGTAATTTAGCTGCTGGAAGTTGTTAACAATACATAAATCAGAGCAACAATAATCGAAACTATTTATCTTATTATTATTATCTATTATTTATCTTATTATTATTATCTATTATTATCTATTATTTATTCCCAAAGGTGTTTATATTTCATCCACAGTTTTGAATAAGCAAATGGATAAATCTTTGAATACTGGTAGTTTCACCTTTTGTTCTGTCTTTAGGAATAACGAGTCTGAAGTTTGGGGTTTTTACGGCATTTCTCCTCACAAGAGTCTAGTCCTTATTCACTTGATTAAAGTAATCACGAAAGAGATTCCTTTGCAAAAGCCTCTGTGAAAGGCAATTCTTTTAAGGCAAAGTTTTTATGTTACCCATTTCGTACTTTGAATTAAATTTTTAAACTTCTGTTAGCTATTAAATTCAATCTCACCTTAATGCTAAATGTAAGCTTACGAAAAGCATGAAGTAGCGAAATGAAAACTAATTTTAGAAGCATATTTGGAAATGTATACAAAATAATGTTAACGATTATACAAAGTGACTCCTACTTAATCTAGGACTGGGCCAAATTAAGAAGTCGAATGATTTAATCCCGGCAAAGCAATCAAGGATTATTTCTGTAGGAAGAAGGACGCACTGGCAGATGATGTGTTCGAAGAAATTAACTAGTATTTATATATCCACAAGTGGAAAATTTTACAGCCAGTCTGTTCACCTGCCAGAACTCAAATCCGAGACGAAGTACCAGTGTTCCGTTGCTTTTACCTGTCAGCACTTTGAGCTTATTTAAGAATGTATATCTGAACAGAGCTAGAAAGCTTTGCCATGGCAGAAAAGAAGTTATGCTTGTTAAAATTAAGTCTAATATATATGTTATATATGTTAAAATAAATATATGTTAAAATTAAGTCTAATATACATACACATTTTTCCTCTGATTCGCTTCAAAGTTAAAACTGGACAATAATTGTTATGTCTCAATGGTCCCACAAACGCATATCTCTCCTGGCAATTAGTCCTTGAACGCATTGCTATGATTAATGAAACAACCACCACTTGAATTGAACGTGCGATGGAACTAACATTGTTTTGGGAATTTAGTTGTTTGGCGTATCGTGAGCTTTCTAGTGTAATACAAGAATAATATGTTTTTGGCTTATGTCGTAAATATTGTAGAATCCAGAATCAGTTTGTTGCATTAAAGCAGTTAATACTTTGTTGTTGGAAAATATTTAATTGCTTTATCAAATCTTTACTGTAAACCATACTTAACCATAAACTTAACACTCTATAAATACTTTATCAAATCTTTACTACTTTAATAGATTATAATAAAAAATCAAATTGTTTTCATTCCTAACAGTATGTAAATTTTCCTCCAACTAATTATTCGTGAACTATTATTATCTGAATCATTGAATGTAGCGAGTTCTGAATCATTTGGCGTGAAGGTTATTTCGAAGCAGAATGAAAAATGTGCAGAATGATAATGTGGACTATCTGGAGAATTCTTTCCAGCCAAATATAACTAATTAATGTTTTACAAACTGGTATGCCTCATTTGAAAAAATGCGTAAAATCGGAAAGGTTTCGAAGATTAAACAAAATCTGATTTTTAATTATATTTTTCTCCTTAACTTAAATAATATCGTTTCTTCATGAATGAAAGTCACAGTTGCTACTTGAAAAAACTGTCTTCCGAGACTTGCATTTCGCCTTTTAAGAAAAAACGTAATTGTATTTTTATATTTCATAAATTTTTAACTACTTCTGTAAAGTATTAGATATGAGTGATAATTTTCAAAGATGAGGGTAATATGATTTCCTTTTTCAAGTTTTAACTTCAAGGTGTGGTATCTTATAATTCATCAATTTCACATGGGAAATTTATACAGATATATTATAAACCATATTAATATACTTCCAATGAATAATGATCTTGTTTTTAATTTCTCCAAGTTTTGATGCTATATACATCTTTCCTTTCATAATTATAAAAGCGTTTTGTCCTATTTATAAATGTAAATTTATTTAAAAGAAATATATATTTTTTGAGATATATGTATACACACAGAAAATTCTGGGAATTAGGGAAATTCCTGGTACATTTGAGATTCGATTTTTCGGTTTTATATGAATTTTAATGTCTTAAATGAAACTTTAATTGATTCTTTTTTTCGGTTTTTGATCTCAAATGAACTAGGAGAACGAAACACGTTTTCGAAACATATTAATCGACTTTAATTTATTTTCCTCTTTATGAAAATTTAATTTATTTTCCCCTAATAAGTTCAGAATTGAAGTTTCAGTAAAAGGAGATTAATTTTTATATTTTTCATTTTTGCATTTTTATTTCTTGAGTATGTACTACTATGAATTCTTATTTTAATTTTGATTTGTTTAGATATTGTGTTATGCCTTTTATACACGGTGGCACTTGTTCATATCGTTGAGGAATCGCCTTGCTTTGACTCCAATTTACTTTTAACTTTAAATGATTTACGTTTGTTATACACATACACGCACACATACACATATATATTTAAATATATCTTATATAAATATTTCCTTTCTTTGATTGAAAATCTTATTATATTTGCACATAATTTCTGAGAAGACTGTGAATAGTTATTTAGATGTTTCTGTGATAATTATTATATACAGAGTAGAGCAGTAGTAGGCAAACATTGTGGAAGAATTAAGTAAACAACATTTGGGATACAATTTATTAATAAATGAACGTAAGGAGATATCGTTTCATGTATTGTAGCAAAGCACTTTGAGAACACATCGCCAGCATTCGTACAAATAATGGCCAATATTCAGGCAAGAAAGTCGCAGAATGACCAGGCTATTATGACCAACATATCGGCCGATGTTCTCATTGCAGCAGGTATATGAAATGCCTCATATTCATATCAGCATGTTCAGGGAAAGAGAAGTGCACGCTCTAAACACATAGTTCACTTGAGTTTTGAGCGACTTTAGACTAGAGTGATTAAACAAAAATTGTTGAGTAATTTTCATTAATGAACGAAAGGGGTATATTTTTACATTCATTTATTAAAAATTCATGATATCCCAAAGGTGTTTATCTAATTCTCTCCACCTTGTATATTCATAATGAATGAAAAAAAAAAAAAAAAAAAAAAAAAAAAAAAAAAAACATGGCTTACGTTTGGTTGTTTCTGCTGCTAGAACTGCCGTCAAACCAAGTAGTAGAATCAATATTACGTCTCTCATCTTTCCAGTCTGCAAAATATTAATTCGTAAATTTTTGAATGCATTTTAAACATTACAGTACATTTATGAAACATCATTTACATACCTTAAGGAGATTTATCGTAAGAATCCAAGAAGAAAATGGGAAGTTTCTACCAAAGATTATTTAAATAAAATGTGAGATTACTTACTTGTACATCAAGTTCTTTTTCCAGACCTATTTAATAATGACAGTGACTGTCTTAATATAAAAATTTATACATACTTTCGCATAGGATGATGTTTACATGATTTCCATGATAGAAGTTTTCAACCTGAAAGCAGGATGCTTAGAATTTTCTACTTATTAATTACAGGGGACAAGTTAGCTTCCTGCTTGAGAAAGTAATTATTTATTATTTTAGTACAATATGGTATAATTACTTCTACGACTGAAAAAGAGTTTAGATTTTCTAATTTTATACTTTTCTTTATTATTTTGTAAAAAGGTTTTGGGAAATATGATGTATAGTTGTTGGTATATAAATGTTTTTTTATTAACATTTAATCAAATGATGACAACAACAAGTCCAAAAAATTATCAGGCGAAGATAATTTTTGGGGTCTCAGTATTATCCTAGCAAAAGTTCTATAAAAATGTCTCATAGTAGGATGAAAGCTTAGCTTTTTATAATAAATATCGATAAAGAATGAAACATATTGTAAAAAAAAAGTACGATAACAAAACTCATTGGCTATTATACGTATCATTGGGTCAAACCAGAATGTTTTCAGCTCCAGAGTATTTTGATTGTTATATTTCTGTCAAAAGAAATATTTTTCATGCACTGGTTAAATATTTCTCGGCTTTTCTTGTTTTATTTGGGAGGTTAGCTGAATAGGAGGGCAATTAATTAATTGTGAAGGGATTACTTCCGCTTTTTGGGAAGTTGGAATAATTCTATTATGGTTTCAAGAACCTCACCGCAGGAATATTCCGCCGAATAAAGGGATATTGCGTTTACTTAAATATCGTTAAAAGCTTATATTTTTATAATTCCCATAATTTATGAAAAGTTAGTTTTTTCTGACCGCGTTTGAAATACAGACAGTTTCAAATGATCGATTTTCTTTTTCACTGTTATGGTAATGTCAGTCTTGAAAAGTAAGTATCAATAGAAAATTATGCCTTAAAACATTATTTTATAGAAATTACTGTTTGTTACAGAACATATTTATGTATTTATTAGCGAATTATTCTTACCTATAAGGTATCCAGTTGGAGTTGTTATTCCAGAACGCCGCTGGATGAGATGTGACTTTAGTGGGTAAACACACGCTTATTTATATCCCCAAAATATTATGTTTAAGTCTATTCTGTCTGTGGTCGTGGGCGTAACCAGTGACGTAGTTACCCATAGCGGCTACCAGCATCATTCCCTGAGTGAGCGAATGCTTTACGGCAAGTTCACTTGTCCATTAAGCTTACGAAATTTCAGAAAGCATCTGCTATCGTTAATTGCGGAATATCGAACTAAATCCATGTATTATTAATGAAATCTCCCTTACTGTTGTGAAGAAAATTGTTAGTTAATAACATATCATGTGGGATGTGATCTGTATGAAATTATTTGAGTTTTAGTTTTTCTGTTTTACATTAAAAAGTTACAGGAAGCAGTTGGAGTACTTATAACAAAAATAGATACAAATTTCCATTGCTGTTCTAGGCCTGATGAAGTTTATCAACTTTGACAATATAAAGAGTTAAACGTTCTTTTCTTTGAAAATGTAACTTACACAGCTTGAGTAATAAATGATAATGCATTTTAAAGCATTTTGTACAAGTTATGTAAAACGTAAAGAGGTTTGTAATACTTGGAAAAGAATTTTATAGAAGTTATAGGATGCAACATTAAAAATATGTGTTTTGAAATGAAGTACTTCTGTCACATACAATGAGTAGTCCTTTTGCGGCTTGGGAAACTTAAAATCTATCTAGCCGAAAGTTTGAATAATACTAGTGCCTTCAGTTTCTTTTGATAAACTTTTATTTATTTTATCTTTACAAATAAATACATATTTTTGTAAAGGAAACAAACTAATATTCTATATTATATGCCAAATGGTGAACTGTTCAATAGAACTGCCCAACAGATACTTTCAAGTATCTTCGTTTATTGATGGAAATATGTTAAACTCACGTGGTACATAAAGGTTTCATAAAAGTGACTAAGCTGCAAAATCAGGAGCAGCAAAGATCTTAATAAATAATAAATGTTTTGCTATGCCATTCCAAATGAGTTTTTATTATTCTGTGAAAAAATTTGTCAGTTGATTATTATGACATTGATGATAATCCAGGAAAGGATTTCTGAAACTGGAAACTTCGGTTACTTATGATTCATTATGAATTCCTAGTTCGTGTTTATTGTAATCTATAAGGTATTTCTCCTGCCGTTCTAGCGTGCCTTCGTGGTGTAGTGGTTCTGCACGCTGGGCCGGTATTCCAGAGGTCGGTGGTTCGATTCCCGGCGAAGGCAATTGCTCATTTTTCATCTTGCCTGCTTCCAAAAAATACCTAATGTCTCTACAAATCTGCATTTATTTTCTTTTCTCTTTTCTGTTCTTTTTTTTAATCTATCTTTCTTTTCTTTTTTCTCCTGTCTTTCTCTCTCTGTGTGTATACTCATACTCATGCAACTGTTAATTTTTATTATGCAGCTTTCCAAATCCTTCCTGCGGAGGGTTGGTATAAAAGTTTAATATAAAGACAGTTAGTGTAAAAATAAAAATTTAACAATTATTTTGTAATTATAGAAGGATGTGATTTAGAAGAAAATAAAAATTTCAAAAGGGTTTATGAAAAGTATACTCAAAATAACATTTATTTTGAAAATAGTACATTCAAGCATTAATTATTTCAGCTTTTTTTAAGAAAACGAACCCCATCATGTTTTTTGAATTAGCAGGGCTAAATTTTATTGACAGTTTCTGCGCAATAAAATCACTTAATAACCGACACAAATTTTCAAATGTATAATAACTTTCTTCGCTAGCTTACACCACTGCAGAAGACGTATTTTACGTTACCTAAGTGGAACAGAAATGGATTTTAATTGTGCGAACCAGTACCCCACAAGTTCATTCAGGGCAGGGACATTGTAATTCTTTTCAGACCATAATTCATGTCAAAGCTAAACTTCCACGCCAAAGCACAGCTGAAAGTGGGCCGCTGATGGGCTGCCAGTATTAATTTAGAGCTTATATCAACATACTTTAGCGCATTACAGTATGAGTCAACATAGGGTTACGGAATACATCAATTCGTTAAGCAAGAATGTGCTGATACATTCTGTAACATAATGCTGACTGCTCAGTGTAATATTTTGTCATGAACTCTGCAATTTAATGTTCGAAACACTACTAGCAATCTGAATATAGAATCTGAGGGTCTCGTATACCATCTTCACCCACTCTAACCTCACAAGAGAACTTCATGGTCCACTAATTGTACGTACTATCGTTCTGTCATTAACGTCTGCGCGTATCTAGGATTCGAATATCGGTCCCCTGGGGTGTACAGCCTCAGCTAAATGCAGTACTGTGTCGAATGGTTTAATGAAGTGAAGCAGATTGGCCGAATGGTTTAAAAAGTTGAGTAATAAGTGCGTTTAGATAAAGTTTAGTAGAATGATTTTTTTTAATAGGAGGATATATCTAATTAAAGCACATGGAGGATATATCTAATTAAAGCACATGTAATGCACATGCATATACTTAAAGCCCATGCATTTATATATTTAAAGTACATGCATTTATCGTCTTTCTGTAAATCATGGTTTAGTTCTTGTTCCTAAATTTAATTAACTATTGCGTACTCTTTGTATATTATGCAATTGTACTGTGAACTTACACAGACATATCAAGTATCCCCAAATCTTTCATTAATGTGGACATATATGTATATACACTGCTGGACACCATAAATGCAACACCCTGAAGGAAGCATGCAAATAACATGAAATTTACAACATGCATTAGCGGAGGTGAGATATGCAAATGACTAGAATTTCAGCGCAGACGCACATCACGCGCACCTGTGGCGCCACTTCAAAGCGCTATTTAAGGCTTGGAGTTTTCGACGATTTCAAGTTCGGAAGTTGTGTTTTTTCTTGTGGTTTAAAAAAAAACAAACGATCAATTATGCCTCGTAGTAAACAGCGATCATCGTTTGATCAAGTATCCGAGTTCGACAGAGGAAGGATAGTAGCCTACCGAGAGTGTGGATTATCTTTCAGGGAAATCGGTAGTCGTGTTGGACGAAACCAAACAACTGTAATGCGGATATGTGACCGTTGGATGCAGGAGGGTACGACAGATCGATGTGTTCGATCGCATCCACCTCAGTGCACCACTTCATGTGATGACAGGAACATTGTGCGCATGGCAGTGACGAATCGCTCAGTCACATCACGACCCATAGCGCAGCACATTCAGTCTGTAACGCATCATCCAGTGTCTGCGCGTATCATTCGACGCTTTTTACAGCAGAGTGGTCTGTCCGCAAGACGTCCATTGCTTCGTCTACCCTTGACGCAGAACCACAGACGTCTACGTCGCCAATGGTGCGAAGAAAGAAGGATGTGGATGGCAGAAGGGAATGAAATTCTCTTTACTGACGAGTCACGCTTTTGTCTGCAACACCATGGTCGGATTCGAGTTTGGAGACACCGTGGAGAGAGGATGCTGAACAGCTGCGTTATGCACCGCCACACTGGTCTTGCACCGGGTATTATGGTATGGGGCGGTATTGGATATCACTTTCGTACTCCTCTAGTACGAGAGTGATACTCCTACTCCTCTAGTACGAGAGTACTTTAAACAGCCAGCTCTACATCTCCGTGGTGTTGGAGCCAGCTGTCCTTCCTTACCTTCAAGGCTTGCCCACAGCCATATTTCAACAGGATAATGCGCGACCACACGTAGCACGCATTGTCCAAGGGTTCTTCGTCAATCGCCAGATTGAATTGCTTCCCTGCCCGGCTCGCTCTCCGGATCTTTTGCCGATAGAAAACACGTGGTCCATGGTTGTTGAATGATTTACTCAGATTACATCCCAAGCTGCCACACCAGATCAGCTTTGGCAACGTGTGGAAGCTGCTTGATCTGCTGTACCCCAAGAACACATCCAAAGTCTCTTTGAATCAATGCAGAGGTGTGGGGCAACGATGATCTCCAACAATGGCAGCTACTCCGACTACTGATTTTGGAAGGAACCACACTTCACAGCAGTCTATAAATTTAATCATTTGATACTTGGTCAACATGTTATCTACTAAATAAATGTTGTTGTGATATCTCTTGCCTTTCTTGGTGTTGCAATCTGTTTGGCCAGCAGTGTATATTAGTGCGTGAATGTATGTAATATAAGCATATGAATACAAGCCATATCTCTCAGTTTTTTCCTTTTTATATTTACATAAATGAAATAACATAACTGAAATATGCGCACTATATTTTCCTAGCATGCATAGTGTGTCTATGGTTTAGGACTCAGTTCGTATAACAACAGAAGTAGAAGAAAACAAAATTTTTGCTTCTTAGCTTTAAATATAAAATTCTCGTAAGTCTGTTCAACACTTGACACGTTCATACACCTGCTTGATTTCTTCGTAGAACTCATCTTTTGGAATGCTGTTTAAGTCTTTGGTTACGATTTTCTGAAATTGTTCAGTGCTACGTTCTATAAAAAAAATTGTGAACTTATTAAAACTCATAGAATTTGGAATGCCATGGGTTACTTGAGTAACAATAGTAGGTGTACTCTTTGTACCCTTACAAGGATTAAAAAAAGTGAAAGTTATAGATACTTCTCTTATAATGTTACAACATGTAAATATGTAAGTGAAATATATTTTTCTTTGTTATATTTATAACATATTTATGTAAAATTCCAAAGGATATATCTGTTAAGATAGCAGATTATTTGCCTATAATATTACAGAAAGTAAACATGTAAGTGGAACACATTTTTCGCATTTAAAATTTCAAAGGATTATATAATGTAAAAATTACAGATTATTTACTGACAATGTTACTGCAAATAATTATACAGCAAAACGTATGTATCATAGGTGAAATACCAAAGGATATATATAAAAGTTACATATTTTTTGCTGATAATGACACTACAAGTAATTATACCGTAAAAACAATGTGTCATTGGTGAAATACCAAAGGAAATGTCTTTTGTCTGTAGCGATACTTATTATAAAAAATATGCTAAATTCAGTTTGTCTGAGTAAAGAAAAAGGTTATATA